AGGCTGCAAAATCCTCTACCCATGCTTATGTTGCTGAATTAGGTTCGGGCAAAGCTTCAAGCTTTAAGCGCAAGAGGAACCATAAATTCAACAACAAAGGAAAAAAGACTGATCATGCACCCAAGAGAGCCAAGACTTTCCGACGCAAGAAGCGTGGCGGGAAGAAGGACAAGGCCAAGATGATGTGCTACAATTGTGGTAAATTGGGCCACTTCGCTCGTGAATGCACTGAGCCGAAAAAGGTACCACATTACTCCATTACTTTAAGTAATGCTTTTGTTTCTAGCACTGTAATGCTTGTTGAATCTCATCCAATATGGACTATAGACTCAGGAGCAATAGACCACGTAGCTAGAGACCGAGGAGCATTTGTGGAGTATCATCGGATACAGCTTAGAAGAAGATGGATATATGTTGGAAATAACTCAAGAGTTGAAGTGAAGGGTATCGGCACATGTAAATTAACCTTTCGTGGTGGTCGAAACCTATTCCTACATGATGTCCTCTATGCTCCAGATATTCAGCGAAACTTAGTCTTTGTAGTTGTTCTTCTTGGCTTAGGTTATGTATTTAATTTTCATGGTGATTGTGTTGACATTTTGTTTAGAACAGTTTATTTCGGTTCTGGTTATGTATTGAATGGTTTTATGGTGTTAGACATTGACTATGATGTGTACAAAGTTAATGTTGATGGTTGTTTTTCTTTAATTGCATCTTCTAGTAATGTGGAGATTGATGCAAGTACTTGGCATGCTAGACTGGGTCACATTGGGTTACAAAGAATGAAATGATTAGCAAGAGAAGGCCTTTTGGGGTCACTCGCTAATATTGAACTATCTGTATGTAAACATTGTCTAGTGGGAAAAATAACTAGAAAACCATTTGGTAAAGGAACCAAAGCTGAACTTCCATTGCAACTTATACATTCTAACATTTGTGGTCCTTTAAATGTAAGGGCGAGGCATGGAGCCTCACATTTCATCACTTTTATAGATGACTTCATGCGTTTCGGTTATATTTTTCTGATCTCCCATAAGTCCAAAGCATTGGATTGCTTTAGACGGTTTATAGCTTTGGTAGAGAAACAGTTGAACAAAACAATAAAGGCATTGAGAACCGATCGCGGACGTGAGTATCTATCTGAGCAATTCAAGGCTCTTTGTGATAAAAAGGGAATTGTAAGACAATTGACTATTCCTGGTACTCCGCAACAAAATGGGGTTGCAGAAAGAAGGAATAGAACCCTATTGAAAATGGTTAGGTCTATGATGGTGCAGACAAATCTACCTGTCTCATATTAGGGAGATGCGTTATTGACTGCTGCCTATATACTTAATCGTGTGCCCTCTAAGTCAGATGCTTCCACCCTTTTATGAATTGTGGACCGGTAGAAAACCAGACTTAAGTAATCTACGACCTTGGGGGTGTGCAGCATATGTTCATGATTCTTCCCATAAATATGACAAATTAGGCCTTAGAGGGAAGAAGTATATCTTTATTAGATACTCTGAACACTCCAAAGGGTACGTATTCATAGGTGAACAAGCTGATGGAAGTGTGACTGAAATGGAGTCACGAGATGTCACGTTCTTGGAGAACGATTTTCCTAGTAGAGGTGAGATCGATAAGGACTTCCAATTACATGGGATGGAAGATCCCGATAACACGCACACTAATGTTATTGAGGGAAATACAGATTTACCTCAACATATAAGACCTAGTGGGAGTGTAGCGTCGCCTGGCGAACTGAATTCTCAAGAAGTTCAGTTGCGTAAAAGTAATCGTAAAAGTATTCCCCGTCGTCGATTTGAGATTGAAGGGGAAACATTTATGATTGCTCCACAAGACGATGCAGAGCCTAAAACAGTTCAAGAGGCTTTCTCATCTCCTGACAAGGAAGAATGGAGAAAAGTTTTGGAAGACGAAATTGAGTCTATGAGGACAAACCATGTCTGGGACTTGGTTGATCTACCGCCCGATCGTAAGGCTATTGGAAACAAATGGATTTTCAAGATTAAGCGAAGGGCGGATGGATCCATTGAAAAGTATAAGGCTCGCCTTGTGTTGAAAGGCTATACTCAACAAGAGGGTATAGAACATGAGGAAACTTTTTCACCAGTTATAAGGTTTGCCTCCATACGCCTTATCCTAGCCATTGTTGCACATTTGGACCTAGAATTACATCAAATGGATGTAAAGACAGCATTTCTCAATGGAGAACTAGATGAAGAAATATATATGAAGCAACCGATAGGTTTCATTGCTGAAGGTCAAGAGCGTAAAGTTTGCAAACTTCATCGCTCAATTTATGGCTTTAAGCAATTGTCTAGACAGTGGTATTTTCGCTTTCATCGAGCCATAACTTCTTTTGGATTCACGATGATCGGAGAAGATCACTGTGTGTATATCAAACGGTCCGAGGATAAATTTATGATTTTATCTCTTTATGTGGACGATATTCTGTTGGCTGGGAATGACAAGGGTTTGGTTATAACCATAAAAGAATTGTTGTTCTCTAATTTTGAAATGAAGGATATGGGAGAAGCTACATATATAGTGGGAGTTAAGATTGAAAGAGATCGATCAAAGAAACTCCTTGCTATGTCACAAGAGTCTTATATAATGAAGATTCTTGAACGCTTCAATATGCAGCACTGTAATCCCATTGATACCCCTGTCATGCAAGGCAAAGGCCTGAGTACTAAGATGTGTCCTAAGACTCCAGAAGAAAAGAAAGAAATGGTAACTGTTCCTTACGCTAGTGCTGTCGGAAGTTTGATGTATGCTATGATGTATACTCGACCCGACATATGTCATGCTGTGGGGTTAGTGATCCGATATCAATCAAATCCTGGTCTAGCACATTGGAAAGCAGTTAAGAGGATTCTGAGATACTTGAAAGGCACTATGGACTATCGACTTTACTATCAAGGGAGTGATCTACGCTTATTAGGATGCTCTGATGCTAATTGGGGAGGAGACCTAGATGAGCGTAAATCGACGTCTGGATATGCGTTATTGCTTAATGATGGGGCAATTTCTTGGAATAGCAAGAAACAGACATGCATAGCTTTATCTACGATGGAGGCAAAATTTATTGCATGTTCTGCTGCAGTGCAAGAAGCAGTATGGCTAAAATGTTTCTTGGAAAATTTAGCCATTGTCACTGATGTCCCAAGACCAGTGACATTATATTGCGATAGTCAAGCAGCCATTGCCTATGTGAAAGATCCCAAGTACCATGGTAGGACGAAGCACATTGACATAAAGAATAACTTCATCAGAGATATAATAGCGCAGAAGGAAGTAGTCCTGCAATATATTTCAACCAACAGGATGGTTGCTGATCCATTTACGAAGGCTGTTCCTAGAGACATGTTCTTGACCCACAGGATGTCTCTAGGATTACGTAGAATGTGATTATGATATGTAATATTGTTGAGGATCACTGGATTATGTGTGTATATGTATTGTACTTGTTTGTTAATGAATTGATGTTTTATCAATTAGTACGATGTTATGAGACTAGCGCAAACACACATATATTGTTGAAAGGTATGTCACCAGGCAATGATTGGCTCACTCACATGAGCAATCACCTCAAACGCTATAGTAAGCGGGTTGAGATGAGACAATATGTACTATAAATGCTGGAAGAGCAGTTTAGTACATAAAACGATTTAATGTCGCCTTGATTGGAATCAAGATAAGGTCTGTTATTCGTATGTGATAAGACCGAACATGATAGTCCCACAATCATGTATGCCTGAAGGTAGCCGGATGTGAGTACTAAATTAGGCGTTGTGGAAAGCGAGCTGATATAACAATCGGGCTAAACATGAGTACGTGAGAAGCATGTGACTATGTTTAGGCTAAGATTCGTATAGTGGATATGATTAATAAATGACATACGCTCTTATAGAAAGAGAAATCCACTATAGCATGTAATTCATACTACATGTGCTTTATTTGATCAATAAGGGAGATGAGTACAATTATCCCTATTTATTCATCATGTGAGTCCTTAAGGTAATTTATAATTTACCTTACTTTGTGCCCTATGTTACTTCTGACTATGTTCTCGAAGTAGAAGATCAATGTTGCTACTTTAGCATGTTACCAGCGGTCATGAATAGATATGGCTTTATGGGACGTGTCTAGGAAAGCAGTTGTTCGAAAATAGAGAGAGACATGAGTGCGAAGGAAGATTATTGTTGTTTTACATCTATCACATGTGTTTACCGATCGACCAATTATTTCACCTTCAATGGCTTCGGAAATAATTGTAAATACATGGTGTTCGTGAGAAAAGTCAAGTATAGCCTTTAAGGGATAAGTATACTTGGACTGATGTAACAAAATATGTCTCGGGTACTGTGAGACATCAATGGTTTATTTATTTTTGGGGTTGTAGCCATTATGTTATCCCTAACAGGTGCATAATTAGAGCTCCCAAGTGCAAGTGTACTCACTGGTCACACGGCTTTCTTGCCAGTATGAATTGTTTCTAAGATAGATGAATGTTGAATGCATTATGTTCTTGATAGAGCATCATCAAGCCCATCATATGCGAGTGGGAGATGTTATATTTCGTCGGTCCACCCATGATGTGTGTGTCCAAGGGACACCATTTGCTCTAACAAGAAGTGTGTCTGAGAGACATCTTTTGAAAAGGTGCGAGGGGAGTTTCTTAAGGGAAGTTAAGATAACTTCCTCTGAAGATGAACAAAAAAAAAACAAGAGATAATTAGAACTCTCTCTCTCTCTCGACGCATAAGGATTCCGTATCTACTTTGAGAAGATAATCGGCATTAACGATGTGGAACAAGAATACTTTCCCTGTGATTGTATTCGGACTAACGTGAAGTAGATTCGTTCATCGTTTGCTGGTGATTCAACGTACGATCCTGGAAATTTTGTTCGTAGTGCATCGAACAGGTTAGTCGATTCTCCCTACACTCATTGCATAACGACTTGTGTATCAGCTAGGAGACTTTTGGCCTTGACATGATTCTGTATGAAGACTCTGATTTCTCTTCTAAGACAAGGATTGGAACTATGCCATACTTGGCTCCAGAATATGTAGATTCCGGCGAAGTGTCTCCAAAGAGCGACTGCTATTCCTCTGGGATCATACTTCTACATCTGATCATAGGACTAAGGAGTACAGACCCACCATTCGGAGAGCAAAGTATTGTGAAATGGGTAACTGCCTCAATGCTTCTTATACAGTCTCTGCCTGTATGTGCGACTTCTACTGATCAAACTAAGCATGAAACATTTGGCAAAAAATGCGCGTCATTTGAATCTTTCGTCTTGTTACCATCTAATGAAGAGTAAAAAAAAGTCTCCAGATAAGATGCCCTACATGATTTATTCTGCGTCAGATTGCTTTATTGACCATACTGCAAGGAACTCAGGTTAAGGTCGGAAGACAATATCACTCATTAGATTGCTCCTCTTCCATTTTGAGAGATCGATGTTTTACAGGCAAAACCATTGTCAAAAGAAAAAACCTACTGAGAATTGATTGAACACAGCCTGACCGACTCTTGCAATGTCAACCAACTCGCTTGGATGATCCGAGTGGCGGATAAGTGCCTGATCAAGCATCCTTACAAGAGAATGTCCATGGACCAGGTCAGTGTGGCTGACTTTTCTCCTCCTATATAATCACTGCTTGGAAATTGGTTTATTCCACATTGAGTATGCTAAAAAAAGGCAAAAGAACACTACAAGTGCCATAACTTGTGTACGGCGCTCACTTTGGTGCCATAAGTTTTTTTTTTATCACTTTAGTGCTAAAATTTTTGAAAAACAATCACTTAAGTGCTAAAATTTTTGAAAAATGATCACTTAAGTGCCAACTCCGGTGCCGTACACAATTTTTCGCCAGAAATCCGACGTGGCATTTTTTTTTTATTAATTTCTGAAGCTGACGTGGCTCGCCGGAGATTGGCACTTAAGTGATCGTTTTTCAAAAATTTTAGCACTTAAATGATCGTTTTTAAAAAATTTTAGCACTTAAGTGATCGTTTTTCAAAAATTTTAGCACTGAAGTGATCCAAAAAAAACTTATGACACTTAAGTGATCGTTTTACCTCCGACTTCGCACCAAAGTGATCCGAAAAAAAGTTATGGCACCAAAGTGATCTCCGTACACAAGTTATGGCACTTATAGTGTCCTTTTGCCGCTAAAAAAGCGTGGCGCAGGCACTCTTTCTCGCGATCGTGTTTGTAAATCATCTTAGAAAATAGAGAAGGTATTTCTGAAGTGTCAACAGACTGTCTCCCCATTTCTGCATTTTTGTTGTTTTCAAGTTTCCACACAGAGGTACTGATAATATGCGCCCTCATTTCCATTTAATTAATGGAAAGAATGGGGAGATCCATGCTCTTGTTGTGCGATACACATGGAATTATAGAGATTCACAAGCATCCTGCTGGCGGGCTTTTATTTTCCGCCGTCTTCTATTCATCAGGAATGTCTTCTATGATTTGGGAGGCAACTTCACTTTCTCTCTGCATTTTAAGTTGATAGAGGCCAGAGGTACTAATCAACTAAAGTTAATTACAGGTGGTTTACGCATTGAATCGCATAGTAGACGGCGACACCATTCATGTCATCAGGAACTTCTCGCCAACACAGTCAGATTCTCGAAGTGGCATTCAGGACTCCTCCTCCACCTCCTCCTCGTCAGGGTTCCTCTCCGATGATAAATTCTTCACTACACAAACATCGGCAATACATCTTTGTGCGTGACATACACGACATAGCTTGGAAGGAAATTTAAGCCTTTATTCACCCCCAAAAGCAGGTTGTTCAAGTACGCGAGGAACATTTCAATTTTTCAGAGAGGATAGAGCTGTAGTAATTGCCATACTTATAGGATCATACCTATGAACATTTATGATCTCAAGAATATTCAACGAGCTGATCAGTGCGCATTCTCTTATGAATAATTTGTGATAGATCAAAGTCGCTGATATGACCTGCCGGAAAATACTATGATGCCATCAAATTAACTAAAACACGACATGTACTTTACACACATAAAAGTGCCTTGGCGAGTGGCACGACGGCAGGAAAAGAATGTGTGGAAATAACCGGATCACTCTCAAGAAAGAAAGATTGCTTTTGTCCCAAGCAAAAGCAGTGAACACGGGACTGAATAATAAATAAATTATTATTTATTTCACCGAATTTTATCCGTCCATGTTAATAAATATTTGATAGATTCGATGACTATTCCTAATTATTAGTAGACGAATTCTGATAACTTCCTTATAGTTAATTTCCTTACGTATGATAAATTCACATATATATGCTTACAATGAGAGTATATGATCATTTTATACCGGTAATTCCATACACGACCCAATAACTAGTTAACAGTGTTCTCAAGGATCGCCTAGTAAAATCCGTCAATACAGGCTATAACATTAATTGACGACCTATTAGTTCATTCATGACGATACCTAATTGTTTCGCCGGTTTGTTACCCCGTCGAAAAATCTTTCACCGAACGCTGCGTTTCGGATTTTATTAGAGGAGACTAGGGTCTTGAGTCAAGCTTGGACAAAGAATATCAAATGCGTTTATTAATCCAATGTAGATCTTACACCCTAACTCGATATGATGTCGAACTCGACAATACTAACCATAAAACGACAACTTGCAAATGTTGAAATTAAGCTATGCCGGAATTTAATCGACGACACAACTTCAAAGTACGTTAGAATTTAATCAATGACGTAACTTGAATGAATATGGCTGGAATCTAATCAACAGCTATATTCCAAACACAGCGCCGAAATTTAATCGACGACACTGAGCTAGTGGCTCAACACTGGAATTTAATCAACAATGCTGAACCTGATAAAAACCCTCGTCGGAATTGAATCTACGACACAAAATCTGAAGATTATGACTAATACTACTCCTAATGTGCTTAAAGATAAAGGCTAAATAAAGGATGTATTGTGTTATTGAAGAAGGGTCCTTTCTGCGTTAGAAGTCCTTGAGTATTTATAGAACAGCTTGACAACCGTTCCTTGAAAGTCGTTTTCCACTTCCTTACGTTTCGTGCTTTAACTGTTTCCTGACTTGTCGATATTGCTTACGCTCCTTGGGCTTCACGTAGTAGCTAATTTTCTTCCACGTGTCATTTTATTTCTTGTTATCCTTGACGCCCACGGTCGTGTCTTTACCTTTTGACACGTGTAAATGAATTTTTCACCACGTATTATCATGATTTTGCGCAAAACTCGCGATTCTGAACTTTGTCGATGTCACGTGCAAAGCTCGTGATCTGGTATTCGTCACGTGCAAGGCTTAGATTTGTCGACATCATGTGCAAAGCTCGTAATTTTAAACTTGTCGACACCTTTATAACGTGTCCTGTCGACAACTGCCTCTGGGCCTGACTTACGGCCTTTCTCATATTTTTACCATGTGGGCCGTACTTTATATCTTCTGTAACTTGTGGATGGCCCATTCCCACCAGGGGTAATTTTGGATGTCAACATATGCCCCTTTTTAAAAGGAATAAATTTGAATTTATTTCTTTTAAATGTGTACCTTGTCTGTGTACGAATCCCTAGGCGATGATCGTGCCTTTCTGTCCTTTGACGTCCTTTCGAGCAGTCTCTACGAATTCCTCATCCAATACCCATTAGACACATCACCTCGTATCCTCCCGAAAAGTTTTGGCTTTTCAAATCGTCTTCTTCATCCTTTATTCTTGTAAAAACCTTGTTTCATCGTCGCGTCTTCTTCTTTCAACCCTAAAAATCTTTTCTTGAACCTTTTCGATCGCTTCTCATGGCGTCCAAAAAGTCCGAATATTCATCCAACGATTACATCGCAGCTTTTGATAAGTTTAAAGACGATCCGCGTGCTGATAACTGCTTCTTTCATTTACTAAAAGCTGTCGAGGGTGAATACAACTGTTTCTCTCTGGGTCCTAGTTTTATGGACCATCTCAATATACCTGTGAATCTCCAATTCCACTTCCCGTATAAACACAGTGAGACCTTGGCACTACAACATTCTTCTATTACGGATGTGTGGTCCACTGGGTCTTCTCGATTTCGAAGTTTCCTTTCTTACGAAGAGGATTTTCACAAATGGTTTATTCGGCTAAAGGCTGACCAAAAAACTCGACTTTTATGGACAGCTGCCGGAATTGACATCGCTCTTGAGGTTAGTATGTCATCTTATGACCTAGAACGTGGATTATTGGGCTCCGCCATCACTTTCTGGTCCTCTTCCATCTCTTCCAGCAACTGTTTCTTTTTCCCTTGGGGCCACATGTCCATCACTATGCTCGATATCTTTGCCATAGCGGGCTTTGAATTGGTTGGTCATGCCGTCGAGGATTTGCCCGTACTGTCCACTCCTTTCATCTCTGAAGACACTCTGGCATATAGCAATTTCTTGTCCCGATTTTACAGAGCTTCGGGTCCTATTACTCAAGATGAACGTCTCTTTTTCTTGCTCTTTTGGCTATCAAAATGTGTGTTCTTCAGTCATGCCCTTAAAGTTTGCAAGGACTATTTGTAAATTGCCGCAGCCCTAGCCACGGGACAATGTCTTGCCTTGGCCCCTCTTGTTCTTGCAGTTTTGTATAGAGGCTTTACCCACGCCTCTCGAGCAATGAAGTTCGGGGATTCTGGAACCATTTCAGGCGCTTTTTGGATAGTTCAAGCATGGATGGCTTTGTATTTCCCTTCTCTTTTTGGTAAGAACACTCGTCATCTTCCCCATCTGTCTCTGCAAGGGTATAGACAACCTATACCTTTACCTCTGGGCTGTCGATTGCTGAGTCGTTCTCCTCGACATATTTCTTCTTTAGCGCCTCCTTTTATCTTTTATCTTCGGTTTCTTCTTGAACTGAATCATGACCAAGTCATTTTCTTTAAGTATGGCTATGGAGAATTTGATTATTTGTTCGATCCAGCTCGATTCAACCTCTATAGGCTTTTCTGGACTTGTGCTTTGTCTGCAGTAGATCTTCCCATATGGACTTCATTGAAGGGTCGATTCTATCCTGGGTTTGAGGTATATTCTCCGCAATATTGTGCTAGGCAATTTGGACTCTGGCAAGCAATTCCCATGCCAATTCCTTACTCAATGGGCTTCTCGGAAGGAACCAAGAAGAAAGAATATTCTCTCAAGAATCGAAACCCACTTCTCTGTTGTATTAAAATTGCCAACACAATGCGTACCCATTATAGTGCAGACCTCTCCAATGTTTTTAGAGCCTGTCCAGGACACCTTGCTGAATGGCAGACTTGGTGGTATTCCTTTGCCTTTGAGAGTACATACGAAGAGGCTCTCCATTCTGCGATTGGTCGTGTGAAGCGGAGTGGTTCTAAGAAACCGATTGCTCAAGGTATAGACATCGTCACTTTATGTTCCTATTCAATTTCACTCTAGCGCATCTTCTAACCTTCCATCTCTTAATTCAGAAACAGAAGAAGACTCTGATGCAGAGGATGTCGACACTGCAGAAAACCTACTGATGGTAAATCTCTGTCTTTCTTCCTCTGTGCCAGCCCACTTTGTCCTTCTTTGTGTTAGTTGGTTACTTTCAAGGTCTTTCTCCCTTTTGGATTGTCTTTGCGATAAATGAAGAGGAGACATTGGAAGAGATGGTGTCATTATTGAAAAGGAAAAGGAAAAGATCTTCTCTTCCTTCTCCGAGGAAGAAACCCGGCACTTTATCTGTCGAACCGTCTGCTGAGCCAATCGCACGCGATGTGGTTTCTTCAGAAGCTATTGCTTCTTCGGATAAAGGTTCAAGGGATAACATCTCTGTTCCTGTTCAGAATCCCGTTACCATCTCGGCATCTATTGGCCTTCCTTCCATCGAGCGGGTTATCAATCTCTCAATTCCATCGACTGATATTTCTAGCACCACAACTACCTTGATATCTCCCAGCGACATTATTACCAGTTCGATGGCATTCCGAGTACAGCTCTTTTCTCAGCCTGGTTCATCCACTCTTATGACTCCTGGTAAGCTTTTGTTGTTGTCTGGTATATTTTGCTCCTATTGTTTACTCGATTTATTTATTCTTCTTTTCTTTCCAGCTATTGTTTCCACTTCTGCTCCGATCCTTGATTCCACCGTAGGGACCACCGTCGCTCTTAATATGATTGGACATGGGATAACCATGCCTGAGACTAGTATATGTCTTTCAAATATTACTTTGTTTCCAATTCTAATCCTGATACTGAGATATTGATCTGATCTTACAGCATATGGTCCGTCGACAAGTATTATGGTTCAACGGACCACTATTCCAGCCACTGTGGTCAATCCTTCCATGGTCTCTCCGTCGACGTCTACTCCAGTGTTCGTGACTTCGGCTTTCACGACTAACTCTGCTGAGGCTTTATCATCGACGTCTGTCTCTCCAACTCCTGATCATCAGTTGACTACCGCTTATACGGGCAAGGCAATACACGCTATAAACGAAGCTGAATTTATTTTGGCATTTAATCCATATGACTTATCACCTCATTCTGGTCAATCTCAACTGGCCATTGTCAAGAAAAAGATGTAGTTGACGCGCTTTTTAGACTTCTCTATAGGAGGATTTGCGAGGATGTCGTATGATGCCGTAGCCTTTGAGTAATTCAAACTCCTCATTGAGCATCTTGGGAATGATAATGCCGAAGTTGTGTCTATTCTTCCTTCAGCACTCAGAGAACGACTCAGGGTTTTCTCCCAAGAGTTTCAGACTATGTTCGATAAGTATCAACAACTCTTGGGCCACGTACAAGAGGCGTCCATTCCCACAGAAATACATGAAGAGCCAGCTGATATTGTGAAGAAGGCTAGCGAAACAGTAAGCACTCGTCGTGAGTCTCTTCGGACTA